TTTGTCTATTTCAGGCTTCAATTTTATGTAAGTAATTTTTAATGAATCATATATGTCTTAATCATTTTTTTTGTATGTTACAGGTTTTAATTTTATGTAAGTAATTTTTAATGTTTTATATTTGTCTTAATCATTTTTGTATGTTTCAGGTTTTAATTTTATGTAAGTAATTTTTAATTAATCATATGTGTCTTAATCATTTTTGTATGTTACAGGTTTTAATTTCAAGTAAGTAATTTTTAATATTTTATATTTGTCTTAATCATTTTTGTATGTTACAGGTTTTAATTTCAAGTAAGTAATTTTTAATATTTTATATTTGTCTTAATCATTTTTGTATGTTTCAGGTTTTAATTTTATGTAAGTAATTTTTAATGAATCATATATGTCCTAATTATTTTTGTATGTTTCAGGTTTTAATTTCATGTAAGTAATTTTTAATGTTTTATATTTGTCTTAATTACTTTTCATATGTTTCAGGTTTTAATTTCAAGTAAGTTATTTTATGTTTCATGTGTCTAATTACATTTTTCTGTTTCAGATTTTTATTTTATGTAAGTAATTTGTTTATTCATATGTATATTATTTGTATTTCTATGTTTCAGGTTTTGATTTTAATAATTTATAATTGTCTTAATTTCGTTCAGACGTTTCAGGTTCTTATTTTAATACTTCATGTTTGTCCTAATTTCATTGAGTCGTTTCAGGATTTTATTTTAATCAAGTAATTGAATATTTCTCAAGTTTATTGTATATTTTAATTGCGTATTTTTATCGAAGCGATTTTATTTCTCTTTTATTCCAAAAATGTTAATATGTATTTGCATGTTAGCATGAATTGTGCATGCCTAAACATTATAATGTTGCTAGTCTTGCATTTGCTTCTGTGTTTCCTCTTTTTATTGTTACAACTAATTATTGTATAGGTAATGAAGAAGTCATCATTGAAGACTTCCTTCGAGGGATTTTATCAACTAATGCGCTAATTTTAAGTTAATTTTAAGTTAATTGTAAGTTGCGTCTATTGTAAAATATTGTAGTATGAGTGAGTGCGTGTATGAATTGCGTATACGCGAAGATTGAAGACATCGATGGACATTGTGGCATCTTCAATGGACATCGTGGGATGCGTGCGTTAGTTTTAAGTTAATTTAATGCGCGCTTTAGTTTTAAGATATGTGTGCTCGTGGGAGGGCGGGTGGGTCCCTGTAAATGCCTCTCATTCTAACTTGCACTCTTCTTGTATCTTCTTAATTCTCAAGCTTTGTGCGCGTTAGCTTGTAGTGTACCCAGTTATTTTTTGTCAAATTGTAATCGTGTGGGTAGGGAGGGTGGGTCCCTGTAAGTACCTCTCATTCCAACTTGCACTCATCTTCAGAGGGATGCGTGCATTAGTCTTAAGTTAATTTTATGCGTGCGTTAATTTTAAGTGTATGCTTGTGGGAAGGGTGGGTGGGTCCCTGTAAGTGCCTCTTATTCTAACTTGCACTCATCTTGCATCTTCTGAATTCTCAAGCTTTGTACGCGTTAGATTGTAGTATACTCAGTTATTTTTTGTCAATCGTTCCGAACCCAAGTGGATCATTGGGGGTTCATAGCGCTGTGAACACGCGGCCGAGGTGAGCTGCAAGTGCTGGTGTAGCGCCAGGGACACATCTCTGCGGGGCCGATCGATTGATGAACCATCTCGATTTGCCGCCTCACGGCAGGGGTTTCCTCTCTGCGGTCAGACTTGCTTCAAACGCAAGCGGGGAGAAATGGGAAACCCTCCGCGGATGTGTCACTCGTTCTTGCCAGTACTTTCGGTTCATCTCTGTCTCGTGGTTCACGTAAGCCACTACGGACTACCCTTTGACCCATGGAAGGCGAGGTTCTGGGTCCCTGTAAGTGCCTCTTATTCTAACTTGCACTCATCTTGACAATTCTCAATGTTTGTACGCGTTAGATTGTAGTATTCTCAGTTATTTTTTGTCAATCGTTCCAAACCCAAGTGGATCATTGGGGGTTCATAGCGCTGTGAACACGCGGCAGAGGTGAGCTGCAAGTGCTGGTGTAGCGCCAGGGACACATCTCTGCGGGGCCGATCGATTGATGAACCATCTCGATCTGCCGCCTCACGGCAGGGGTTTCCTCTCTGCGGTCAGACTTGCTTCAAACGCAAGCGGCGGGGAAATGGGAAACCCTCCGCAGATGTGTCACTCGTTCTTACCAGTACTTTCGGTTCATCTCTGTCTCGTGGTTCACGTAAGTCACTAGTGTGTGGCATCCCATGCGATTAGTATTAAGTTAATGTACGTGTGTGTGTGTGTGTGAGATACAAGTTCTTTACTGGATTGTGGTAAAGAACTTGTATATGCGAGTGGTCATAGAAAGTTCTTCTAACTTTCTTTTCTTTTTATCAGAAAGTTGTTTTAACTTTCTTTTCTTTTAGTAGAAAGTTCTTCTAACTTTCTTTTCTATTAGTAGAATCTACCCCTTTGCTTTTTTACTTCGTCATAGATTATTCGAGTGCAATCTTAGAATAAGAGGTACACGTGCGGCGTTTAGAATAAGTTAAGCGTATGTGTGTGAGATCTCATGCAATTAGTATTAAGTTAATGTATGTGTGCGCGTGTGATACAAGTTCTTTGCAATTTTGTGGTAAAGAATTTGTATATGCGAGCGTCATAGATTATTTGAGTGCAATCTTAGAATGAGAGGTACCGTGCGGCGTTTAGAATAAGTTAAGCGTGCGTGTGTGGCATCCCATGCGATTAGTATTAAGTTAATGTACGTGTGTGTGTGTGTGTGAGATACAAGTTCTTTACTGGATTGTGGTAAAGAACTTGTATATGCGAGTGTATGAGCTAAGTAGAGTCAGAACTCATTTATCCTTCTGATAAATGAGGTTGCATTTGGAGGGTGGTAGGGATTTGGAGTTAGGGTGGGTCACTATCGTAGCAACCTCCACGTGGTGTGACCTGGTAATCGACATCGTTTTCTAAACATTTTTCTATAAATGAACTTTAGAAAACGATGTTGAGCTAAAAGCTACGAATTAAATTATAATTTCATTTGTCCCACATTTTCTTTTACGAAAACGTTTAGATCAAGTAAGCATATATTACAAGTTCCACACTTAGAAGATTTACAAATCTTATAATAAAATGCAAAACTTTACAAAATTAGATGCAGCAGATAAGACGGGAACCACAGAGTAAACCAGAGGCGACACTCTCGGCATCTTTGATCCTCACGAAACTTTCACACATTTGAAAACAACGCAACATAGTAGGCAAGTAAAATCATATAAAATATTTTTTGATACAATCTGTATTGAATATGTACATGTCTTACAAAAAAATGAAATAATATAAAATGACACTGCTTGTAATACAGGAAATAAAATACTGCGCTTTGCTGAAAATGATTAGATATACATATATAATTAAAAATATTTGTATAGTAAGTGAATCATAATGGAATATTTTGTTGTATCTGCAAATGGAATTCATTTACTATGTACATTTTGTTGATATCAACGTATCAATACACACACACATATATATGCTAATTTCCTGTAACATTTATGAGTCTCAATCAACAGTGACACTGTTTTATACCCATTTTAGTATTTGTAAAGATTGCTGATATAGTACTCTCAAAAATTTGAGAACATAATCGAAGTACCTATTAAGTATATCTTGTTTGAATTTTGATCTGCACAAGTTTACAGAACATATAATAAATTTTTGTTTAATTTAAAATATTATATAATATAAATTGTAGGTGAATATCCTTTTTACAAATAAAAAATTAGAAACTATAAAATGCATATATCTATTAAAAATCGTCTTTATATAGAAAGGATGTTTTCTCCTTTATGAACTCAGTGATTTTCCTTCGAATTCATAAGAAAACATTCCTTTCAGTATGCATATATTTAAAAGAAAAAAACTTTCTTAACTTGAAGTTGGTGCTTCTTGATCTTTATTTTTTTTCTTCTTTTTCTTTTCTTTCTCTTCTTTTACTGGCGATTCCTAAAATGATAATATTAATATATCATTTTATCCAAAAAGAAATAAAAAAAAGCAAATTTGTATGTAGATATCTTACCAAAGTTTCACTTTCCATAACTACTGAATCTTCCGTTTCTGGTTCTTTTTCTCCCTTTTCCTTCTTTTTCTTCTTCTTTTTGTCTTTCTTTTCTTTCTTCTTCTCTTTTGGCGATGCCGTTTCAGGATCTTCAATTTTTTCTTCTTTTATTGAAACATCTCCTGCCGGTTGTGGAACTGTTTCTTCCCACTTGCGTTTTTTAGCAGTTTCAGTTACACCATTTTCCTCAGTCTATTTAACAAAATAAAGTATTAAAATGTATGGATTTATGAAAGAAAAATAAAAGTTGTAAGTTTACCTTAACTGCAGTTGCAGAGTAATCTGTATAATTAGCTAGCCAATCAGAAGGTGTGTTTTCATTTGGTTTTCCATATTTATCTAATTTTCCTTCAATTATCATACGCTTTTTAATGGAAGCTTTTGGACCCAAACCCCATTTTCTTGGATATGCATCCCTTTCCATAATAACCCTTTTAATTTTTGCAGCTACACCATGATCACAGGCAGTCATTGTGGGAGATGTCATTAATGCAACACCTGTGACGGTATAAAGAGCAGTGAATAAGTAATCAAGTAAGTTTAAATATAATACAAATATTTTTATATTTCTTACAAAATTTACTTACCAAGAGCTATAGCTTCACCTTTAGTAGTAACTATTACAATTTCTTGGTTTAATTCAATACCATCATCATACATTAAAATACCTGGTAACATAATTTTAGCTCCATAACAAATAGCATTTACCTGTTAATAAAATATCCAGCATTAAACAAATATCCTTTCATTCCAAACATTAATTTTACATATAAATAATGACTACATACTGCACTATCTTTCACAATAATTCTTTTGTGATTTACAAGGAGGGCTTCCAATGGTTTGATTACTCTTCTTAAATAAGATTCGTCTCCATGATTTTCATATAACCATTGGGCATCAAGTATATCATGCATAGTAACCATTCCATCTTTTTCAGACTGAACACCAGATCGATTTCTACGCAATTCTTGCATTTGGCAACCCGTGCCTAAGAAAAGGCCAAGATGAACACAAATAGTTCGAATATAAGAACCAGCTTCACAACTAACTCTGAAGACTCCCATATTGCGTTCATTGTCATAATCAAGAAACCAACTGTCATAGACTGTTCTGACACGAAGCTGACGCTTGACTGCAGATATGAGTGGGGGTCGTTGAAAGAGTGCTCCACGCAGTTTTTCCAAAGCTTGACTTACCTACATTATTTAATTATAAACAATTTATTATATAAATTATAAAATAATTCCAGTTCAAACCATGTTATAATTACCTTTTGAAGGCTTTCAGGAGCAGAATGTAATTTAAATACTGCAACATATTCTTTTCCAGCAGATTGTTGTGACTTAGCTAATCGGGTTGCTCTATCAATACATACTATTAAACAACCAGATACTTTAGGATCTAAAGTACCTGAATGACCAGTTTTCTCTACTTTTAAAATTCTCTTTATCCATGCTACAACCTCGTGTGAAGAAGGGTTGCAAGGTTTATCTAAATTAATACATCCAGATTTTATATACTCAGATAAACTACGATGCAAGGGGGTTGAACCACTCGTTAAAGGAGTAAAATGTTTTGTACGGGTAAGCATTCTATCAAAATTCTGAAATAATTCAATTTTAGTTACAAGTGTGTTAAAACTATCCTCTTGATTCTAAAGTAATTATCTATATATTATTCACCTTAAATAAAAGTGGCCAATCTTTATATTCAAGCTTTACAATTTCCTCAGAAGGTTCTAGCTGACACTTCATTGTCGCTTGAATTTCTCCAAGCGACTTCTTATTTTTCTTCTTACTTTGATCTAAACATAAAGAATAAAAGTTAACCTATACATTCCCATCCATTCATGTTATCAACATTATGGTAGCAGTATATAACATTCGTATACATATTTAAGAGCATAATTTTTTACAAAATGGGCGCATATAATACGTATACAATACATATTTAAAGTAATATCTTTAATCGTTATCTTGATTGAAACTAATAAACACGTGTTTACCGAAACAAAGGTAGCTAATAATTATAACAGAACATAAACGTTTTCATCGACTTTAGTATAAAAACAAGAATCTTTTTACTGATATTAATAAATGCAAAATATTATACATCATATTGAATAGTAAAATATATAAAAAAATGATTAACAATTACCGCTTTCTGCCATTTTTATATAAGTAGGAATAACACGTGCACTTCAGAACCTAAGCGACATCAAACACGCGGGAGTAACTGCGTCCAACGTAATTCCATGGACAAAATGTACACTAGATGTGTTACATAAAATGACATTTTATATTCCCCTATAACCAAAAGCAACGCACATCTGTCTTTATGATGTTTCTAATGCAGATCATGTATGTGAATAATATAAATTTCTACACAAAATGCTAAAAATCTAAATTTGCAGTTGGTCATGTTTAATTTATGCTCATTATCTTTGTTCATGTATGCATTTTGTCGGCAATATGACGTGAAATTGTCAAACAAATGGTACTAAGAAATCTACTGAAGTTAGTCATAATGCATTTCAATTTGCGTGTGATTTTACAACTAGAGAATACTCAAATTTGGTTTCCCTAGGAAAAATGGCGATCAAGGAAAATAAGAACTTGGAATAATACTCATGCATAGATACGCACTATGCTTCACAAGAGGAATTTTTGAAACTGATAAATAATATAGCTTTTTCATTCTTAATTATAAAAGCAAGCTGATTTATTGTACAATTTTATGTTTTAGAAAGATGAAAAAGTTCAAAAATGTTCAACTTTTTATTTTCCTAATTCTACCATTCTCTACGAGGGGGCATTAGCTGTATCATTTTCAGATAGCATGCGTGAAAATATAAAATGCTCTCAACTTTTTAAATTAATCACTGTACAACAAATTGTAATCTTTTATATTTTTTGTACGTGTTAAACCACTACGGTACATTCTTTATGATCGTAAATTTCGATGTAACATCGTTGAGTTACGTTCCGATGGCTTTTGCGGAAATGGAAACGTTTCTAGAATTATTTTCCTGAAAACTAAAATGTACAATAAAACAGCTTGCTTTTAAAAGTACATATACATTTGCAAAAGTTGTATTATTTATTTCAATCATTGAAAATATTATTGTAGGTGGTAAGGAGCTGTTTCCTTTGGCTACTGTGTTCTCAGAGAAGCCAGCCTTGTAGATACAATACTATACATATAGCGTAGTTGCGCACCATGGACCGATGTGTTTGTTCATAATATTGTGTGTACTGTAAGAGGTTAGAAATTAAACAAATTTTGACGAATTAATAACGTAAAAATGACGAAGTTAACAAGAATGATTTTTAATATGAGTGCCATATCCACCATAGGAGTGGGTAGTTGGTACCTGGGTAAATATTCAGAACGCAAACGGCATTTAAATGCAAATAAAGATGATAATGAATTATATACTTTTTCTGCAACAAATATTAAAAAGATGCCCGGTTTGCCTTTATTTGGAACAGTTTCTGCGGCAACAGCATTTGTTCCCACGGAAACTGAAACAAATATGGGCTCAAATTTATCAGCAACAAGTAAAAGGGTGTCTGAAGTAAGTTTATAATATTTAAATTATTCTTAACCTCAATATTATATAAATATTATTAATTATAAAATCTTTTATATTCACATTTTGTATTGTGAAATTTTTATGGAATAATCAATTGATTTGATTTTATAACACATGGAAATGTGGTATTAGTAAGATGTATATTTTCCGTATTATTTGATGTGCAATAGATTATGAAATATGGTTTTCCTGGATTAGATCATGTCAGATCATATGAAGATTTTGTTCTTTCGTATGATAGAAGGAATAGGGTAGCACATTGGGTATTTGAACATTTAACTAGAGACAGATTACAATCTAACACCGAGGTATCACGTAGTAAATGTGAATTTAAACCTGATCCAAGCATACATCCATTTTTTAGGTAATTACTTACAATTAGATTGGTGCATTTCTAATATATTATAGTATATGAAGTAATTGTAAACTAACTAATATTGTAATGAATTCTTTGGGAATTAGATCTGATAACAGTGATTACAAACGTAGTGGATATGATCGTGGGCATTTGGCAGCTGCAGGAAATCATAAATGTCATCAGCGTCACTTAGAACAGACATTCTTTTTAACAAATATGGCACCTCAAGTAGGTGCAGGTTTTAATAGAGATTCTTGGAACAGACTAGAAAAATATGTTAGGCATTTAACTAAAGTTTACAAGGATGTATATGTTTGTACTGGTCCTTTGTATTTACCAAAGTAAGTAAGACTTTTTGATATGCTGTATACCTCTTTCACCACAGTATTATGTAATGGAAATATATTGTTAATATAGAGTAGAATCTGATGGAAAAAAATATGTGAGGTATGAAGTTATAGGTGCTAATCATGTAGCAGTTCCAACTCATTTTTATAAAATTATTGTTGGAGAAACATATGATTCAAAATTGGAAATGGAAGCATTTGTAATGCCAAATACACCTATAGATGCAACAAATATTAAAAAGATGCCCGGTTTGCCTTTATTTGGAACAGTTTCTGCGGCAACAGCATTTGTTCCCACGGAAACTGAAACAAATATGGGCTCAAATTTATCAGCAACAAGTAAAAGGGTGTCTGAAGTAAGTTTATAATATTTAAATTATTCTTAACCTCAATATTATATAAATATTATTAATTATAAAATCTTTTATATTCACATTTTGTATTGTGAAATTTTTATGGAATAATCAATTGATTTGATTTTATAACACATGGAAATGTGGTATTAGTAAGATGTATATTTTCCGTATTATTTGATGTGCAATAGATTATGAAATATGGTTTTCCTGGATTAGATCATGTCAGATCATATGAAGATTTTGTTCTTTCGTATGATAGAAGGAATAGGGTAGCACATTGGGTATTTGAACATTTAACTAGAGACAGATTACAATCTAACACCGAGGTATCACGTAGTAAATGTGAATTTAAACCTGATCCAAGCATACATCCATTTTTTAGGTAATTACTTACAATTAGATTGGTGCATTTCTAATATATTATAGTATATGAAGTAATTGTAAACTAACTAATATTGTAATGAATTCTTTGGGAATTAGATCTGATAACAGTGATTACAAACGTAGTGGATATGATCGTGGGCATTTGGCAGCTGCAGGAAATCATAAATGTCATCAGCGTCACTTAGAACAGACATTCTTTTTAACAAATATGGCACCTCAAGTAGGTGCAGGTTTTAATAGAGATTCTTGGAACAGACTAGAAAAATATGTTAGGCATTTAACTAAAGTTTACAAGGATGTATATGTTTGTACTGGTCCTTTGTATTTACCAAAGTAAGTAAGACTTTTTGATATGCTGTATACCTCTTTCACCACAGTATTATGTAATGGAAATATATTGTTAATATAGAGTAGAATCTGATGGAAAAAAATATGTGAGGTATGAAGTTATAGGTGCTAATCATGTAGCAGTTCCAACTCATTTTTATAAAATTATTGTTGGAGAAACATATGATTCAAAATTGGAAATGGAAGCATTTGTAATGCCAAATACACCTATAGATGATAATACTCCTTTAACAAATTTTCAGGTATATTTTATTCATTAACCCATTTGTAATGGTACCTGTTTCACAAATGTAGACAGAACCTCAGAATACCATTGTGAATAGGTTAATTGTAAAAATAATTATTATATACATTGTAAGAAATAATGTTAAAATCCTATGATAGGTACCTCCAGAGAGTGTAGAACGTGCTGCTGGACTTTTATTTTTTGATAAAATTTCACGGGATAAATTACACAAAATAAATGGGAAAAAATGTTAGGTAAATGTAATGCAAAGTTAAAATATTGCAATAAATTTAGATTTTAATTATAAATGTATAAATTAGATTTATCTAGTCAATTTTAAAAAGAGAATAATTTTTAAGCGGTATATACACGTATACTGGTGTACAAAATCTGTTTTATTGAAAAAATTGATTCTTTGTTAAAAATTAATTGTATTTTTTTAAATAAACTGTGTAAAATATAAGAACATATAAAAATTTCGTTTAAATTTGATTATGTAAGATTTTCTTCCAGGAACATATAGGGAGGAGCTTTACATAAATAAGACTAAGCAAGTTTTATAGATAAAGCTTATTCTTGGGCGCAAAATTCCATATTTTGTATTTGATACACAGAGTGACAATCATTTTGAACATTTCAACAATGAAATATTTTTATCACTGCAAGTATTTCAGTTAATTCAGCCTCCATTTTTTGTCATGTTATAAACAAGTAATGCTGAAGTGAAATATTTAAATTTTTATTATTTTTGTACATTCAGTAATTATTTACATACAATATTGCATGTTGTCACATCTTGTCATAAAATAAGTATTCACATGAAAAGCGCATGCACTCTTATTTACGTATTTTTCTTAATATCCAAAATTTCAGTCTTGAATAAAACATTTATGATATTTAATTTATATTAGGTGTTTAACAAGAATTATTTTTTTAATAACTTATGATAATGCAATACAGTCATTTTTATTTTTTCAAGTATAAATTATTCACATTATAAAGTTCGAACTTATTTCTTTGATTTTTCGTTATATCATTTGCTAACTTGGGTAAAATATTTGCATGTCATGTACGCTGATTCTTTCAAAATTAATCGTTTGGTACCGTGTATTCGTACCAAGATGTGTTTCTTAATTAAAAAACTTTGTCATATGATATTAAAATTCAACATCGCGAGTACAGATTCAGATTCATTGAAATTCTGTAAGAGAGAACATCGGTACATCAAAATAAATATATTTAAGACAGACCATACATCAGTTTCATTTTTGTAAAGAACAGTTATTTTTCCTACTAGAGAAGAACAATATTTTTTTATCCGTAAATATAATGTTTATTGTTTACGATTAGTGGACGAGAAAAACTCTCGTTATTACTTTGGTCGTGGTAGTAAGTGATTACGTACCAAATAATATTCGTTATTAAATACTATATCCATATAAAATGCTAATGGTAAAATCATTAATAATTTCAACTTATACTCTAATTTATGTACAAAATTAACAAGCACGTTGGTACTGACAAGGACACCATCCCAAGTGTACCCGAGTGTATCACACACAACTTATGTACATAACTATATAATTATAAAAACAAAGAAATGGAATTATTCTATGATAATCCAGAGATCAAAAGAACATCTCTTTTTTGAACACTTCTTAAATTTTTAACTATTGATTAAACACATACACATATGGAGGTGAAAACATATAAATCTGAGAGGAACACTTGGGGTGATTTCTTTGTGAGAAATGTACAAACGCACAAACGACAATTATAGGTCAATTTATACTAGATAGATTTCCAAAGTAGGTCCATGAAAGTTTGAGAAACTCTATGCTAATCACCGTACCCGAGAAAGGTGAATATTTCGTCACCATAGATTACATATGCATACAAATATGTATGTGAGAAAAACAGACACGAAGTATAAACTGACCTTAATGCGTAAGTCGCGATAAACTACCCTCTACGACATTTTTACAAAGTCCCGATATCTTTGTAACAGGCCGTAACGTTACTACGATTTCATAATGATATCTGTGATCATAGTTACCTGATAGCTAACAAGTAAAATAAGAGTAACGAATACCATTATGCTTTAGAGATCTCGACATACACATCTATGTTTAGCGCGTTTTTTAAAATGCACACTTGAAACTCTTTATATTCATTGCTTATAAATAACATCTTCACATAGGGTTGATTAGGCACTAAAATGGACGGGTCTCGTTGCATAGGAGCTTTTCTTGAGTATTGCTTGCAAGTTAAGGACACTTAACGAAGTTTTAAGTACACTTTGTGTAGTTGCGTGATTCGTGAAAATCAACAGCATGATTAACATGCAAATTTGGTAACACATCCTTCAGTGCTATATTCTTTCAATAAAGCTCCCAGATAATCAATTTTTTCCACGTTCCTGGCTTTCGTTTCACGACGAAATTCTCATCACCACTTGTCTCATCTTCAGCGACGTTTTCAGATGTTTTATACATCATTATTTTTTAATTGTGTTCGCTTAATTCAACGTAAGGTGGACTAGAAAACGCGCGATGAAACTTGACATTTTTCTTCTCGTTCTTCGTTATGAGCAGTTCTATCGAGAGAACGGTCTAGTCCCTTTTAATCGATAGATACCGCAATAACGCATATTCTTGGCAGACTAGGATTTATCGACGCGGAACATTTATTATTCATGTTCCTTCGTCGTAAGAATTTAGATCAATCTCTCTTCCGGCGGTGGTTTCATTACATTGTCCATTTCTACTCGTGGATTACTGAATTCTTGAGCACTTGGACTGTATGTACCCCTAGTTGCTCGCTTCTTCCTGGCCATCATGAATAATGCGACTAAAGAGCCCGCCGCGATCAAGAAAAGACATCCAACAATAGGTCCAACTATTACTGCTATGTCCAGTGCTTGGCTACCCAAAAAGTGTTCCGTCTGAAAAAGAAACAAAATTTATAATAAAAACTTAACAATATATTTTCATTTCAGAACGTTAAAATCTACCTCTGTGCAATTTTGACCGGTATACTCTGGTGTACACTGACATCTGTAACCACCATCATCTCCACACTTACAAGTACCTCCATTTTGACAATAGTCCTATTTAAAAGAAGAAAACAAGGTAATATATAATATAAAAAATAATAAAGCTGAAATAAAGAAGTAATACCTCTTTGCAAGGATTCACCATTCCACAATTGTATCCACAGTAACCTGATTCACAAATGCATTGATAGGTTCCTGGTAAATTTTCACACTGTCCATGACCACAGTCTGTCGATGGATCCTGACATTCATTTATGTCCATGGAACAATCGGACCCTGTGTAACCTGTTTCGCTACAGTCACAGGTGAAGTTGTTCACTCCGTCGTAACATTTACCATCGTTTTTACAGGGTACGTTTCCTTCTGCATCCGGTGCGCAGTCATCAATGTTAATTTCACAGTACATTCCAGAATAACCGGGTAGACATGTACATCGAGGTGTCTGCTAATTAAGGTAGTAAATTGTCAATAATAGTAGACAATAAGTTATTATAATAATTATATAAATATTGAATAAATGTGAAAATGACGTACTTGGTATGAGTCGCATTTTCCACCATTTTGACACTTTCCACCGATGCAATAAGGAACGTCACAAACTGCGCCCTCGTAACCAGTCATACATGTACATGTGAAATTATTACCGGTTTGCGAATTTGGTATGTCCGTACAAACACCGCCATTTTTACAAGGTTGATTTTCGCAAGTGATTAAACGGAAGTGCTGGCAGAGGTTGCCAGTGAACTGATCTGGACATTCACAGCGGAAGTAACCAGGAAAATTTATGCATTCTCCATCATGTTGACAAGGATTCAGTGATACACATTCATTTATATCATCATCACACCTGTAATAGAAATAACATAAATTGTGTGATGATTAATGATTTTAATAATGCAGATACAATTATTTCTTTCATATGAAGTATAGTCTAAATAACTGTTTTATGTACTTACAGCCATCCTTGCCAACCACTATTGCACACACAAGTATAATTAGCAATTCCATCAACGCAGGTAGCCTCATTTTCACATTTATTATCGATGCACTCGTCAATGTTGAAAGAGCAATCGTTCTCCGTGTAACCGGCAGGACATTCACAAATATAACTATTCGCTTTATCCTGACAGTAACCATCGTTCTTACAATCTGAATCGAAGCAGAGTTGACAACCAATATTATTGTGATGTGTATCGTTATCTTCTTGCAACGCTAGATACTCCAATGGTGTAAAGTTAGCGTTCTGATAAACCTCTTCATACGTGAAATAATGCAGCAGCATACCGCCAATTCTTACTTCTCCTAAGCATCCTTTAAAAGCTTCACCTACACAATCAAATATATTTTTCAGTTCACCAATATTAATATTCACAAACAAAATAAAAATTATGTTAATTTGATTACCCGACATCGCATCATGAGGCGAAGATGTGGTGGTCAATGTACGTTCAGTAAAATCTATTGAGTTTTCATTGATACCATTTCTAGTTTCTAAATTGTGTCTACTAGAGCCAGTTGTATAACTGTTGGTAGATAAACTGGGACCAAGTCCGCCTAGCGTAACCGTTCCAGTAACTAACAAATCATACCACAAGGAGAAACTAAAATTGGGACTAACTGGTGGTTCGTTTTCATCATTAGAGTTCGCATAATCACACTCCATAGAATTGTTGTTCAATCTCAGAATAATCGATGTCCAATTTCCATCAGGTTCAGTTTTACCGAAAGTCAATATCCCTTGGTTTTGCGCATCCAAACGCCAAGATACCGTGACTTTGTCCTTGTAAACGGAGACAGTGAAATGCAAATCGCCCACACGGGGAGCAATATGCATCAGAATACCACCTGTATTCGATCGATAAGTAATTTCGATGCTATCAATCGTGGACTCTGTCACGTTCCTTTCTTCTCCTTGATTGTAGATGTAACTGAAGGAGGTGTTCACTCCATTAAAGGTGGTATTAGCGATGCACTCGTAACCATCGTCCAAGTTCTGGCATTTTGATCCAGGTGGACAATCTTGCAGCTGACAGAACTCCATTTCTTGACAGGTCTTTCCGGTGTAACCACGTGGACACTGACACCAGAAGTCATTCCACGTGACGTGGCATGTACCATTGTGGTGGCATGGATTGCTGATGCAGACGTTGTCGGATATTACACCCTTAAGAACTTTTTCGTAATCGAAGGTTACGTTGCCAAATTGGATTGGGGTTGGAATGTCATTTGCCTGTGAAAGAAATAGATACGTGTAGCATTTATAGTTAAGAGTATTGATGTTCAAATTTTAATGGCGACCTCAGATCATCCCGATCTGATTGTCTGATCTGATTGTCCTATTGATTGTCTGAGGTCTCCATTACATTTGAAGATAAATGTATATCCAGTACAACAAATTTAAATGGTATATGTGCATATAGTCCTGAACAGAATTTTACCTTCAGAGGAAAGAATTCAACGACCATAATTTCACTGCCATTGGATATTTGAACATCTTGAATAACTCCTTTGAAATTAACTTGAAGAGCTTGCGACACTTCTATCTGACGGTTATCAACTTGTCGTATGTACCTAGAAGCTTGTGGCAAACCACCCAAATATAGGACAGTCACATTTAACTGACCAGAAGCGCTGATGGTTTTTCTGAAGTATTCGGTACCGTTGATCTTCACTTGAACCAGCGTTACATTTCTAACTATTTGTATCAGGTGATTGTTTCCGTCGTTCAGTTTCACACCTCCCACCGTGTAAGCTTCTGTGTCGGTAAACTGAATTCTGACGAGCAGTTCACCTCCTTCCATCTGAGCCGCTATGTAAGTTTTCTCCTGAGGTCGTAACTCAGTTTGCGGATTCGGCTCTGATCCTAGATAGAATATATCGCCTCTGTCTTGTCTTGTGCGAATGAACATGGATATATCTACAATAGATCTGACCGCTCTTCTAGCCATATCTGACACTTTCACGGTTACGTATCCGTTTGTGATATTCTCGTATCCAAACGTGGCTGCTGTCATGTTGTATTGACAGGTATGTCCAAGATACGGTCGCTCACATTTGCAGGAAAAATCTCGCCATCTGTCAGTGCAATGTCCACCATTTTTGCAAGGATTTGGTGAACACTGAGCTTCTCGTGGACAGCCTGATTCGACATCTTCCATGTACACTGTCATCGATGAGGTACCGGAGTATACCTAAACACACTGACTTAGTATTTGTCCACAAAACAATTGTTAAAATTTTACAACTTACCCATTCTCCATTAATAACAAGATCCTCGGTGCAACCCACAAAGAACGACGGTCCATGAGTCAACCTTTGCAGGTAGTTGGTGGTACCACCCACATAAGTCATTGGGAAAGATGTGTGGTTAGAATTGGAACCTTCGTTCAGACTAATAGGATAAATCGTTTGTTCTTCGTTAGCTGAGAGCACCAAGTGCGTGGCATTGATAGCAACGAACACTTTTTGCCAGTGAGAGTCGTTCAAACCGCTGCCAATAAATACACCCTCCCACTTATTCAGGAGACTCGAGTGCAAGTTCAGTTTGCCATTCACAAGTTCAAGAATATAAAACGTTGATCCCTTTCCAATGGCTAGTAGCCCATTCGGCAGAGTCGTGCGGAAGCGGAACTGTATGTCATATCCTTCATCGCGAGTAGTATTCACCAGGACGTATGATCTGCCAGTCAAGGACATTGTCGTTACCTGCGAACAGAGAACAATTATACATTCCTGAAACCCTAAGAACGTTGTAACATTAGTTCTACGTACCATCTTCTGTATTTTGTGCAAGAAACAACAAGTGCAAATTACATAAGCTATTATGTGTACAGTGCTATACTATTATACAATTATTTGAACTGTTAACCACCACTTACATAATCACAGATTTCTCCATGGAAACCATTTGGACAGGTGCAATTGAATTTATGTATCGTTTCGTCGACGAGGTACGGCCAGCAGGTTCCGCCATTTTGACAAGCATTTCCTTGACATCCGGTCAACTCCACCGAACAATTTTTGCCTCCGTACTCTGGTTCACAAGTACATGTGTAATCTGCTCTTCCATCGGTGCAGACACCGTGCTCGCATGGTGTGTAGCGTTTACATTCGTCGATGTCGTGTTGGCAGAGATCACCTTCGTAGCCGTTCTCACACTCGCAAGTGTAGCCTCCGATGCGGTCCAGGCAATTTCCGGCTAAGCATGGGTTGCTGTCGCACTCGTTGATATTTATTTCGCAATTTTTGCCTGTCAGACCTTGCACGCATAGACATTCGTACCTGAAACGTGCGAGATTAAAATAATTTTTTAGCTTACTGACATATTTGTGTTAACACTTTGCGGTATTTTTGCATTAACCCACAAGTAGATCTGTCTCTGTTACTCAGACAAGTATTTAGTGTTCTTTCATATAAAGATTGTCTTAGCAAATGTGTACGTAAAAATAAAGATAATGAAACAATTTTACTTTGAAAATTAATATAAAATATATCACATGTATTACATTTTCGAGTAATATTTTTGACTTAATAATTTATGTAGTAGCTTAAGTAATTTGTAGGATATCGATCAATGTAACATGATGTACAGGGTCTTGTAACTTCAAGAAATTAACCAGACATGGCTAAGTGGCTTTAGGAAATTTCCTGAACTCAACGATCAAAGCACTAACAAAGACCGCAAAGTGTTAATCCACTTCCAACCCGATACTTGCCCACTCGCGTTGGCATAGCTAAATTCCTGATTGAATATAGCAGGTAAGGTCAACGCGTCGCTCTTGTACAACTCGCTCTTTGATCTCTCTAAACAAGTTCCATTGTACTTGCAAGGTGAGCTATCGCATTCGTTCACGTCGATTTCGCAATTCTTCCCAGTGTACCCAGCATAACATTGGCACTTATAATTCTTGATATCATCTTTGCATTTAGCGCCGTTCACACACGGTTGCGAGCGGCAGTCGTCGATATTCTGTTCACAGTGTGCACCTTCGAAACCCGTGTCGCTGCAGTCACAGGTATAATTGTTAATACCGTCGATGCATCGGCCCTGATTCAAGCAAGGTGACGGCTCGCAATCATCGATATTGATCTCGCAATTAATCCCACGGAAGCCCAGTGAGCAAATGCACATGTAGCTGGCGATTTCATTGACGCACGTGGCACCGTTCTGGCAAGGATCGCTCTCGCACTCGTTCACGTCCATGTCGCAGGTTTTCCCGGAGTAACCCGGTGGACACTGGCACTCGAACGTGTTGATACGGTCGATACACGTGGCGTTGTTCTTGCACGGTGCCCACAGACATTCGTCGATGTCGATGTCGCAGTGGTCCCCGGAGAATCCCGGTCTGCAGAAACAATTGTAGCTGCCCTCCGTGTTCAAGCAGATCCCGTTATTGCACAGGGAAATGCCTTCCACTTTGCATTCGTCCACGTCTTCTTCACAGAATTGCCCTGTGAATTAATTAGACAGCTAAAGGACTTCTGTGCACGTCTGGTAAGTTGGCAAACTATGCGGATATGTTCCAGTACTTCTAATAGCTTATGGTATTATTCATTATTATTATTAATGTATTTATGAGTTTGGATGTAGTCTTAAAATATATTTAGTTAGTTGTAATTAGACATGATCAACATCAAGATTACTTGATCAAGATTAGACACGAAGTTACTCATGATAGCTACTCTACAGTGTTACTTGACTTTGCATTGCCAGCTGGCCCCATTTTCAAATTTTCAAATTTAGTAACGTGGACATTTGGGATTGCAAGGAATTAGGAAAAGTGCAAGTTTGTCAAAGTTGACAAATTTTGAGGATTTGGAACATTTGGATTATTTGCAATTGCACATTAGAGAAGATAAAGACTTTCAGAATCCAAGAAGAAAATTTTGAAAATATAGGATCTGAGAAGTCTAGAAATTTGGGAGAAGTAAGCTTGAAAATTTGGAAGTTATGCAACAGTTCAGAAAAAACTCGTAACATTGCAAATAGTGTACATGAATAAACAAATAAGCGCATAAACCCTGCCACGGAAGTATCATCTCTTAAAAGCCACCGTACTTTGCATCTTGAATGCTTAAAAATAGCAGTAACAACTACGGTAAAATGTTTAGCCCGTTTCCCATGAAATTTACCTTGATAGCCGTCCTTGCATTTGCACTCGAAACCATGTTCCCCAAGGTCGATGCAAGTGCCGCTGTTGCAGGGTTTCGTCGCGCAATGGTCGACGATTAGGGTACAATTAGGATCCCTGTAACCCTCTCGGCATTTGCATTCGTAACCAGCGATACCATCCACGCAAATCTTGCCATCAGGACACACGACATCGACGCAATCGTCGACATTGATGTTGCATATCTTCCCCTCGAAACCCTGCGGGCATTCGCAAACGAACTCTCGCCGCGATCTCGCTATCAGGGTGCAGTTTCCATTGTTCTGACACGGATTTACCGCGCATGCATTGTATTCCAGTTCGCAGTTTTCGCCCATGAAATCCTTGGTGCAGTTACACGTGTACCCGTTGATTCGATCGATACACGTACCACCGTTTTGACAGGGTTGTGACAGACACTCGTCCACGTTTATTTGACAGTTCTTACCTAATGGTATTGTACTTGTGTTATTTATCATCGTTTTAGCATGTACTTTTGGTTTATTCATACGTAATTTCTTTCAAATAGGTAATTGAATAAATAATTTTGACTAGACAATTTTGAATGAATTAACTAATCAAGCTTATTATGTTTTACATGAAATATCATTTCATTTTATAATTGAATAAATGGTCATTTTAAAAAAATTTTCACCGAGAAATTGCCGTTGTGTTTGCATTCCATGTCGATACTTTTGTATCTCAATTCCTTACCAGATTTTTGAGTGTTTAATAAACATGTTAGATTTGACAAAAGACAGATGTTAGTTAGACAAATGAAAAAGACGTCACAGAGAACAGTGGATTCCGTGAATTGTGTGATTACCGGAATATCCCGGAAGACATTGACAGTAGTAGCTAATTTGTTGATCGATGCAGATGCCACCGTTGCGACAAGGATTGCTGACACACTCGTCATCATCGATGGAACAATCAGGGCCCGTCCATCCTGGCTCGCAGGTGCAATAAAAGCCTCCGGCCTGCTCGCAGCGACAAACGCAACAAACAAAGCAATAGGAGATACAACACAGAGAATATGTTCGACACGGTCGATTAATTAGGCTAGATTCGGATGTGCATGCGAAAGCTAGCTGTCATTCACTCACATAGTCGTGACAGGCTGATGCCTGCTTGCAAGGCAGATCACGACAGGTGATCGGTTCCTTGCATTGCGGTCCTCTCCAAAACTTCGGGCACTTACAAGAAACACCATAAGGTGTTTCCTGGCAAACACCACCGTTGTAACAGGCGGAACACCAATCCGAAGCGGGTGATAAGCATGTTGTTCCTGATCGTATGAAATACGTCACATGTGAAGACAAACGAGAAACATTTAAGATTAGGAATGTTTGAATGTTATAATGGATGAATTTTGTTTGGTTCAATATCGGCTGCTGAACTTAGGTGATTAAGATGCATTGTTAATGTTTCAACACACGTGTGGATCGATAGGGTACACTGATTACGGACTGGGAAGTACAGTTTGCGAATTTGGGAATTTGAGAATTTAGGGATTTTGTAGGTTAATTTGAAAATTTAGAAATTTGGACTTGGGGATTTGGGATCTGGGTAGTGCTAATTGGGGAGTGGTAATTGGGGACTTCAGAAGATAGGAAATTGAGAAATTGGAAATTTGTAAATTTTGGGATTTGGAAATTTGAATAATTAGTGAGTTAGTAATTTGTTAATTTGAAAATTTGAAAATTTGGACTAGAGGATTTGAAAATTTAGAATTTGGAACCTTGATAGTGCTAATTTGCCAATTTGGGACTTTAGAGGGTAGAAAAATTGCAAAATTGGAAATTTACAAATTTTGGAATTTAGAAATTTCAGTCATTGGTGAGTTAGTAACTTGGTAATTTGAAAATTTGAAAATTTGGACTAGAGGATTTGAAAATTTAGAATTTGGAACCTTGATAGTGCTAATTTGCCAATTTGGGACTTTAGAGGGTAGAAAAATTGCAAAATTGGAAATTCACAAATTTTGGGATTTGGAGATTTGAGTAATTGGTGAGTTAGTAACTCGGTAATTTGAAAATTTGAAAATTTGAAAATTTGGACTAGAGAATTAGAAAATTAAGAATTTGGAACCTTGATAGTGCTAATTTGCCAATTTAGGACGTTAGATCACAGAAAAATTGCAAAATTGGAAATTCACAAATTTTGGGATTTGGAGATTTGAGTAATTGATGAGTTAGTAACTTGGTAATTTGAAAATTTGAAAATTTGAAAATTTGGACTAGAGAATTAGAAAATTAAGAATTTGGAACCTTGATAGTGCTAATTTGCCAATTTAGGACTTTAGATCATAGAAAAACTGCAAAATTGGAAATTCACAAATTTTAGGACTTGGAAATTTCAGTAATTGGTGAGTTAGTAACTTCCCTATTAAAAAATTTTTAAATTGAAGTATTTGTGCATCCGATTATGCAATAGAACAAAAAACAAATTATCAATCATAAAAATTCAAAAATTCCAGCACAATAAATGTAATAACTTTCTAATTTGATAAAAGCATAGCAAGGTCCGAAATAAACCTAAAAAATTTGCAAATGAATTTGTTTCAAATATCCACATTTCTCAAATGTTGAAGCACTGTAGTTATAATAGCACTCCGATGACTCTGAATTTTCGTGGTCCGATTAAACGTGTCCGAACTTTCTCCGAACATATATTATAATCCATCCTTTACCTTTCCACTCGGGCGGGCAGGTACAATTGAATCCGTCTTTGTTGCTGGTGCACGTTCCTCCATTAGCACACGGGTTGTTGGCGCAATAATTGATAGTGCAATTCGGAGGATTGCCCATGAATCCAGGATTACAAACACATTGCGGGCCATGGGCGTCTTCCACGCAAATGCTATTCGCCGGGCATGCTGCGTTTTCGCATAAACTTCTGAGCTCGCAGTGACGACCCGCGTATCCAGGCAGACAATTACAATGATATGAACCTACATCGTCCACGCAGTCGCCACCGTGTTTGCACGGGTCTGATATGCACTCGTTCAAGTTCAATTCACAATTCTGTCCTTCGAAACCGTTCGGACAATGGCAGATATAACCACCATAATTGTCGTAGCATACACCGTTGTTCAGACACGGGTCTGCTAGGCATTCGTCGATATCAATCTCGCAATTTGCACCTTCGTACCTGCAAGAGATTCATCTTTAATTTCTTACAATTTATACGAATTTTTGTTGGTTATTAACCCTTTGCGCTCTAGAGACTCCTCTCAGGCACCGTTCGATTTTATACAATATTTTTTAATAAGCGTTATTTAATTAATTCTATAAAAGTGCTCGTGTGATGTAAACATACTGAAAATTATTAGTAGAGAAATAATAACCTCAAAAGAACTCATTTAACATTTTTATTAATATTTTAAACTTGCTGTTTGTAAACAATAAAATTATCTTCGAGTGCAAAGGGTTAATTCTTAGAGTGGTTATCAATGCTTCAGTTACTTTTCCGACAATACTGTGTATGAACATAACGAAAATATTAGTGTTAAAATAATAACCTCAAAAGAAGTCATCTAACATTTTAATTAATGCGTTTTAAAATTGCTTTTTGCAGGCAATAAAATTATCTTCAAGTGCAAAGACTTACTACTCCATAAAATTATTTTTAAATTCATTTTAAGCTTATTTTATAATTCACTTTTAACTGCTCATAAATTATTAATCGTTCTTAAATTTTCATCAAATATTTCTCCTGTCTTCATTATAATTTAAAAAACAAATTTCTATTTGCGTTTCATCAACGCGAGAGTGCAAAGGGTCGATAACAAAATGAAGTTTAATGAACAAACATACCCTGTTCTATCGCACATGCAAGTATAGTTATTGATACCGTCGATGCAAAGTCCACCGTGTTTGCAAGGATTCGAGGCACACTCGTTGATGTTCGTTTCGCAGTTTTTACCAGTCCATCCTGCTGAACATTCGCATTTGTAATCGGTTTCGGTGACGGCTAAACAGATACCGTCGTTTCTGCAGGGACTCTGTTCGCAGAGTCGTACTCCAAGTTGAGATTCGCAGAATGTCCCGGTGAATCCTGGTTTGCACGCGCAACTGTAATCTCCCTTCGCATCCTCGTTACAGGTGCCGCCATTTCGACAGGGACCGGTTAAACAGGGCGAACCTAACAAACCGAATTTTGTAAGATGATTAAGTGGGAGAGAGATTGATGAGGGAGAAGCGATAGGAAGCAACATTCGAGAATCTTGTGCTGATGATAAGGAAAATGTTAGTGGGAGGATTTGAGATGTGGGAGGTGAGGGGTTGGAGGTGTGAGGAATTGAAAATTTGGGATTTGGAAGATTTTGGAGAAATTTGGGGAGTGAGGGATTTGGAAATTTGGGAATTTGGAGAGTGAGGAATTTGGAAATTTGGGAATTTGAGGCGTGAGGAATTTGGAAATTTAGAAATTTGGGGAGTGAGGAATTCGGAAATTTAGAAATTTGGGGGCTGAGGAATTTGGAAATTTGGGAATTTGAGGCGTGAGGAATTTAGAAATTTAGAAATTTGGGGAGTGAGGGATTTGGAAATTTAGAAATTTGGGGAGCTTGGAATTTGGGGAGTGAGGAATTTGGAAATTTAGAAATTTGGGG